CTCTTTTATACACATTGTTGTTTCTTATCCTTATATCTACTTGAGTTTTCTCATATTAAATAATTCAGCTCTTTGATGCTTACTATTTTTTCCTTATTATCTATTTTTAAAAATAGTTAATTGTTTTAAATAATAAAGCTTTAAATATTTAAAAATATTTAAGTAGGGTTCTTGTTAATAACTGGGTCTGACTTTTTAAAAACTGCATTCAAACAATCTCTGCTTTTGTTTGGAGTGCTGAGCCCTTTTATATTTATTGTTAACTATTGATATTTTAAGGTTTGGGTCTATACCGGTTGTTGTTTTCAATTTGTCTTGTATTTTCTGTTCCCCTTTTCTTTTTTCTGCTATCTTTAAAATTAATTGAATGTTTTATGGTTTCATTTAATTTCCTTTGTTGGCTTATTAGCCAAAATTTTGTTTCTTTGTTATGTTGTCATATTTTATAATATACACCTTTAAATGATCAGAACATACTTTGAGTAATACTATAAGCTTTACATATTATAAGAATCTTACAATAGTATACCTGCACACTCAATTTGATTTGCCAGATTTTTCTATTTTATGTTATTTTCAAGAACCATTTGAGTTATCCATTGTATGTTGTTTGTTCTCTAATGTATTGCTTTCTGCCTTTATTTTACTAAATTGCTTTATTTTCGAATTGCATTTACTACTTCTTTTTAATAATAAGTGTATTGCCCTGGCCGGTTTGGCTCAGGGGTCAGAGCGTCGGCCTGCGGTCCAGAGAGACTGGGTTCGGTTCCCGCTAAGGGCATGTACCTCAGTTGCAGTTTGTCCCCGGCCCTGGTTGGTCGTGCGGGTGGCAGCCACTCGATGTGTCGCTTTCACATCGATGTTTCTCTCTCTCTCTTCCTCTCTCTCTCTCCCGCTCTATCTGAACAACAACAACAAAAAAATGGAAAATAATAATAATAATAATAAGTGTATTGTCAGCCATCAGTTTTCTGTGCATTACATATTTGGTCATTTCTCATGGATTTTAAATGTAGTATTCTGACTATTTATAAATATACTGAAAAACATCAGTCTAAATTACCTTATTTGATCTAAGAGCTTTTCATGAAATAGTTTTAAATACATGTTTAAATGGTTAGATACTTGTTTAATTTTTACATTCTTAGTATTTTTCACTACATTTGCATTTTGCTTAGAAATATTAGTTATATTAAAAAAAACATTTTTATTGATTTTAGAGAGAGAGGAAGGGAGAGGGAAGGAGAGAGAGATAGAAACATTGATGAGAGAGAACATCAATTGGCCGCCTCCTGCATGTCCCCCACTGGGTATTTGGCCCACAACCTGGGCATGTGCCGTGATCGGGAATCGAACTGGTGACCTCTTGGTGCATGGATCAATGCTCAACCACTGAGCCATATTGGCCGGGCCAGTTTTCATATATTAAAATGTAAATTGCTCTGGTCGGTTTGGCTCAGCCTGTGGTCTGTAGAGACCCGGGTTTGGTTCCCGCTAAGGGCACGTACCTCGGTTGTAGTTTGTCCCGGGCCCTAGTTGGGTCGTATGGGTGGCAACCACTCGATGTCGATGTTTCTCTCTCTCTCTCTCTCTCTCCCTCCCACTCTATCTGAACAAAATATCAAAAAATGTCCTCGGGTGAGGATAAAAAAAAAAAAAGTATTTTCTATGTAAACTTTATGAATACTATAGTTATATATAGTATTTATTATTCAGGAATGTATAGCTATGTGCTAACAATCTTCAGATAGTTACCAATGAAATGAAATCATAGAATAGCACATCAGTAAGTAAAAAATTGTCTGAACCCACTCTCTCATTCTATCTCTATCTGTAAACATGGTAATATGTAATTTTACCTAAAAGAAGCAAAGGTAAGAAGAGTTCCTTTGTTGGCTTAGAAATGCCACCTTTCCACCTCTCAGTGGAGGAATTAGAATCCAAAGAGGTCACTGAAGCTACATTTTTTTTTTTTCAAAAATTTTTTTTATTGTTGAAAGCATTACAGCTGTTCCCCCCACAAAAGGGGGAAACTCTTCAACCCTCTCCTTCCTGCTTCACCCCCTTCTGCCTTCGTCAGCCCAGTGTCCCTGTCAATTGGTTGTGCATATATGCATAAAAGTTCTTTGGTTTATCTCTTCCCACCCCTCCCAACCCCCATCCCTCTGAGGTTTGTCAGTCTGTTCCCTACTTCCGTGATTCTGGATCTCTTTTGGTCGACAGCTTATTCTGTTAATTATGTTCCACAAATAAGTGAGATCATGTGGTACTTGTCTTTCTCTGACTGGCTTATTTCGCGTAGTGTGGAGAGACCTGGAGAGTATTGTAAAGCTAGGTTTTGCAGGGCTGGCTACCACAGAAGGGCACACTGCAAAGCAAGGGAGCTCTAGAGATTCAGAGTCTGTTACTGAGTCCTGCTCATTGTAACATCTTAAATATCTTTCCAGGAAAAGAGCTACAGAAAATGATTAAAAGGAACAATCACAAGATTCACAGTACTGAGAAGAATTGCTGTTTCCAACAGCCAGGGTAAAAACATTCTTACAATGGGGTATACTTTGACAATGTTCTAAAGTATGATCAGAATAAATAAAAGCAGTCAGCAATGAATGGGCAAATACATTCAAAGAAAGTCTGTTGTGGATTTTTTGAAGAAACGATCTGAGAAAAATTCTAAGAGGCAAACCAGGAAAATATCTGTTGCCCCTTCTTCTTTCTTTCCTTGGGTGCAGAACAGATCTGTTCCCGTAGCTGCAGTAATGTACATTGCAGCCATGAGGGCAATGCACTGAATGATTGTGTTCCCCCAAATCCGTGTTTTGAAGTCCTAACCTGCAATATGATGATATTGGGAAGTGAGACCTTTGGGAGGTGATTAGGCATGAAGGTGAAGCCCTTATGAATGAGATGAGTATTTTTATAAAAGGGACCTCAGAGAGCTCTCTTACCTTCATTCCATTTTATGAGGTTACAACAACAAATATGTAACCCAGAAGAGATCTCTCACCAGAGCCTGACCATCCTGGAACCCTGAGATCCAGCCTCCAGAGCTATAAGAAATACATGTCTTTTGTTTATAAGCCACCCAGTCTGGGTATCTTGTTACAGCGACCCAAATGCACTACGGCAGTGATGCTACCAGCTCGAGGACGGAATTCAAGTGTATGAGAATCGTGGAAGAACGATAGTTCAGAAGAAGCACCAAAGGAGAATCTGACAGAGCACTCAGAAAGACTTTATCTTTGTAACGGGGCAAAACAAAACCCCAAAAAACAAAACCCACCTTCAGTGAGGGCTATACTGGTCCCACCTATTAAAACTTAAAAGAAATCACAAAGGATAAACTGTGCCCAAGTGACTTAACTGTGCCTCAGAATAATGTTTAAGTGTATTTACGGAAAAAGAAAAATATCGAGCATTCAACAAGGTGAAACACCCAATCTGGGATCCAATAAAAAATCAACAGCCTTCCAAAGGTGCCGGAAAGTGTTCTTCAATGTGTGAGGATTGCTGAGGGAAGACCACACAGGGGGCAGGCAATAAAATGTGCATTATCTATAAAGAATTTAAAAATAAGAATAAAATGGACTAAACATTGTTGCTGTTTATTGGCAATGATTCTAGACAAGACAGTGAGTAAATACTCCTTCCCTCAGGGTGGGCTATTTCTACCAGCATCTACCCCCTTGTCATGCCACTGAGCCACCCACTAGAATATGACCTCATAAAGGTACTAAATCTTAGTTACCTTTGTATATGAACTGCTAAAGCAGTAAATGACAAATGATGGACACTCAGTAGCTATTTGTTGAATGCTGGTTAGTTGGAGTTTTCTCCTGTGCACTCCTGTGGAGAAAGCCTCAACAATTTAAATTTTCTAAACCTAGAAATTCATGACATCAAATATAAGCTGAATAATACTGATGAAAAAAATAAAAGCATCAGTATTTGACTGACTCTACTTATTTCCCTAATAAGGCACCAGCGCAAGGCAGTCAAACATGAAGATTTTAAATGACACCAAATGAAAATGATTATTGGTGAGGCAGGCAGATAAAAAGAAATGCACTGAATTGATATAAAATTGTCTTTGAAAAACTGTCATAGCTATTTAGAAAGTCTAACTTAATGTAAATATAATTTTCCATTTCAATAATCTTGAATATAGAAGCGATAGTTATATCTATGAACACAGAGGCTTTATATATTTTTCAGCAAGAAACAAGGAAATATTGCACAATATTTTTCACTGCATTTTTTATTTATTTGGAGGCTATATTACCATATCATTTAGTATTTAAATTTTCAAGAAAACAGTAGAGTATAATATTTAAAATGTAATTGCCCCATTTCTTCAAGTTAGTTATCAAATATAGAATGACTCTTTTAATAATTAACTTACAACTTTTGTGCTTAAATAAATTATACTCTATATGACTGTAAATATAATTACATCCTCAAAGTTTAAGCTGCATGGTTCAGTGGAAAGGGAAATGGCTATAGAGTTAGGAAATCTATATTCTAGTCTTGTATGAATTTGGGCCCCTGTAGTAACCTCTCTGAGCCTCAGTTTTTCGCTCTGTATAAAAGGCATAATAAAAGTTTCTCTATCCACAAAATACTGTAATCTGTTAAGATATTATATGTGAGAGAACTGTGAAAGTACTATTTAAACATGAGTTAACATTAGTTCTATGAGTATTTTCTAATGCATGACAAAATTAAAATAGAATGAAATGTTTGTTCGAGAATCTCTTCCTTAGAACTTAGCATTGTATTTTATATTAGACATCAATTTTATTTATTTATTTATTTTTTATGAATTTTTATTTATTTTTTTGTTACAGATATTTTACCTTTTTACCCCATTGGCACCCCCCACCCCACCCCACCTCCGCCCCATCCCCGGCTTAGTTGTCCATGTCCATTGGTCATGCACACATGCATATAAGTTCTGTGGTTTATCTCTTCCCACCACCCCACCCCCCCCATCCCCTCTTCTGAGGGATGTCATTAGACATCAATTTTAGACATACTGAGGTAAATTTAAAGAATAAATATTCATGTTTGAAATTGGGATACTCATTACAGTAAAAATAAATACAAATGATTGATAAATAACTGTGGCATGACAGCAGGTAATGAACCTTTGGGTCACTGCTTAATTAGAAGGCATAATCTTCTAAATATGATTTCAAAAATTTCAGCAACACATAATACCATTGTAATGACAGTAAAGGTATACATTGCAATGAGAAAAATGGTCTTCTCAAAGTGTTCTGGCACCATGCATTTGATAACAGTAAATTTCTTCCCCAGAGATCCCGCATCACACAGGTAGAGAGGCTTGACTTGGAAACCAAAGAGGTGAATCTGAAGCCAAAATGATATCACCTCTAGACTAATTCTTAGTAAAACGGAGATGATATACATCACAGTGTAGATGGGCTTTTGAAGAATGCACTCTTCACTGATGCTTTTACAGGCAGCGTAAAGATGGAAAGTAGCACCAGGAGCCAGGACAATCACTAGTTGTAATGCCCAGAACACCTACAGTATGTCAGAAACACCTTCGTCAAATCAATCAACATACAAGAAAAAATACACTAAAAAAATTATACTGATTATCAAGGGAGGCTAATTTAAAAAGTCCGTGTTTCATAAGTCTTATAAGCAATAAAAATACTAATATAATGAAGGTAGTAATGCTGGACATATTTCTTTTAATTAGTAAGGTATTTAAAACTGGAAACATCTTAGTAACTGTGAAAAATGTATTATATTTTACCATTATCACTTACCAATTAACTAATAATGATGAAGTACTTTATTTCAGTAGCTGCCTAATTTCTATATTCTAATTACAGGCCTGGAGTATAATTTTAACATCAATAGATAATAGAATGTTGGAGTTGAAAGAGACTCTCACCCAACTCAAATTAATTTACCTGAAATAAACAGCTAGTTAAAAAATAGTAATTCTAGAAATAATACCTATTAAGGTACTTTTAAAAATTCTATTATGACATTAATTTTTATTTAAAAGAAAACAATTATATCTGGTATAGAATAAGATTTATGGACACACAGAAAAACTTACTTGTGGAGTGATTGGCCTGAACTGGTTGTAACAAAAGAGGTTTATTTCTCTCTTGTCTGGATCACAGCTGAAGTGCAAAGCCTCATTCCCATAGACTGCAAAGCCTAACACCCCGAGAAAGAACATTCGGATGGAGCCAAAGAAAAGGGTGTGGAATTGACCGATCACAGTAGGAGGCTTCACCTGTTATAGTTTTAGGAGAAAATCATCTTTTAAGGCAAACATCAAGGAAGACATTTTATTAAAATTTTTTTCATTGTCACAGTTTTACAAATTTTAAATTCATAAAGTTTTCAGGCAAGAAGGAACCTCAGAGATCATCAAGCCCAACGCAAATCCTGCATTATGAGATTTCTCACCCTTTTTTACTCTGAAAATATGAAGTGCAACAGTCAAACAGTGACATATTATTAATCAAATGTATACTTCTGGAAACTCTTAAAAAGCTTTAAATTTAATTAGTATCCCTAATCTTTTTGTAATAAAATCAAGAAAATCTTAGAGTATGTAGGACCTCTTGGAAAAGTAAATAACAAATCCAATATTAAACTCATGAACACTATCTTAACAACCAAATAATGTTTATTTAGTTCCCATTACAGTCTATTTTATACTTCTTTATTGAATTATGAGTGAGCTACTTTAAAATACCAACAGCTAAAAGTACTTCCTGAAATATTCTAATTATAATTTTAAATTCAGAATATTTTGAAGTATATGGTTAATAGTTATGTTATTCTCCATATATGTAGAGAAACTTACCAACACTCACAAAAACCAAGTTAAAATACACAGACAGGACTCACACAATTTTTTGGTTATTTGTATTATACTTACACATCCTTCGTAGAAGTTTTTGATGTAATTTAGTGACATGTCTCAGGAGGTGTAATCCTGGTAACCCAGTCGGTTAGTTCTCGGTCCACATTGCCAGTTGGCCTCTGCCAGGATGAAACTCATACCGTGGCATGACTTTTACAGCAGAAATCACTTATCGCTGCAAATTTCTTTCCCCTCCTCCTTCTTTTCTTTCTTTCTTTCTTTTTTGCCATAGATCTCTGGGGCCCCAGTCAACTTTCCTATCTCTGTCCCAGAACAAAACAAAAACAAAGAAACAAAAGCCTAGGGCATGCAGCCAATGTGATAATCCCTTGATTTACACTGTCAGCACAGCCAGCCAAAGGCCTGCGCAGTCCATGCCTTGCAATTACCCGAGAACTGCCTACATGTAAAACAGTGAACTGTGCTTAGAGTTTTCTCAAAAATGTCATGACATTATTATTATTATTATTATTATTATTATTATTATTGCTTCCATTTACATGTATGTGAACAAATAAATACACAGACATATTCCTGATTCTTTCTTGTTTACTTTCATGGAATAGGACTAATTTCTGGGAAGTTTAAGAAATTGTAACATAGACTATGATAGTTATTACATCATTGAATATCACTAATGTGTTGCTACATTTGTCTTTTGGCTGAATACTGACCGCCCACAGGGAGACATCTGAAGTTAGAGCTCTGTTCTAAGGGAAAGAGAGGGTACTGCTAACCAAGAGGAGACCAGGATCCAGTACAATCGTGCACAATTCCTCCTCCTTTTCTTTTGACTTTCAGTAGATACACATCATTTGCTAGACATTGTTATGGGTGCTGGTGGTCAGCAGGGACCGATAGGCAAGTATTTGCTTTCAGATGGATGTATCTGCTTAATATCTTCCATCCACCCAGAATGTCATACAGCCAACAGTGGATCAAATCTGCTTCTTCATCTGCCTTTCTCACCTGTTTTGTTTGTGATCTGTGAAAGCTGAGATTACAGGCAACTTCATTGCTCTCCTCAGCAAGGGGGGAAATGACTACATGACACATGTAACTGCCACAAATGGGCAAGGGCAGTGGGCTTGTTCAATTAGTGTTGCATTGGATAGAAAAAAATTAAAAAGAGCAACATAATGATCCTTCAGAGCTGTTGGATAAGAGAGTTTGAGTATTTTCCCTCTTCCCAGAAGTAGAATTTTAGGTTTGCTATGTATTGATTTCTTCAAAGGGGCATCCATCGCCAAAACAAACGTTTGCATGGGAGGAATTCTACTTCGACGTCTACCATTGTACAGTAATGAATTTTTGTTGTTTTTGTTTAGACAAATATTTACTAGTGTCAGACATGTAAAGAAACATCAGTCTTCTGGTGTTCTTTCAGAGATAAACAACATAAACTTGAACCACAATTGCATAGGTAGAAAGAAGAGAAAAATGCAACATCATTTTCATTGTTGGTATCTGTGAAGGACAAAGTAAATAATATCAATCCTCCCTTTATAGCTTATGATCCAAATGAGTCGTAAGACAAAGAAATATGGCAGATAGAGGCCAAAATATCACCCAATTACAATCTTATTATCATAAATATTAGGTTGGAGGAGAGACAAGGCTTATCTCTTTGGGAAAATGTTATTCTTAGATGTGATACGTGCCTAATCAATGTCATATCATGGCCTCCCTAACTCTGTAACATTTGTGCATGAGAGGAACACAGTCAGAACTGATGATCCTTGTGGTCAGCTTGCCCCTAAGGGGAAAGTGCTAAGAAGTAAATGATACATTCCCGGTTTTACCTTCCAGATGTAAATTCAGCATAGAAGACAGCAATTAATAGTGAGGCTGGCCTCACATGTATGGCAATCGGTGGGGCTGTTACTTAGGGTAACAACCTGAGCTTCTTTACATTCGAACAGTTGCATGGTCTAAAAGCAGGAAAAGAGGGCTAATGTACTCGCTAATGTACAAGTATCATACTGTCCTCTGTTTACTTCATGTTAGGCAAAGCAATTTAGCACTAACCTAGATTTAAGAAATAGCTTCTGCCTTTTAAAGGATCTGCAGTCACATTGCTACAGGGATGCGGGTGCAGGACTTAAAAAAAATGTAGCTAATTTTGTGTTTTACCACAGTGTGACCTCTGATCACATATATTCATATCTCTCCCACATATCCTCACCCTCATCCCAGGATGTCAAAGCTTTCATTTAATTATAGCATGAGGGTTGAAGTCCAGGATTTTGTGACTTGTATCACGTTCTAATCTGGGTATGACTCAGGTGTGGCTCCTTGTCATCCAGAATTGAATGAAATAGAAGGAAAAGCTGTCTTCCACACGAGATCAAAATACCATGGTGATGCGGGGGTGGGATGACTCCAATAGACACTTCCACTCCAAGAAGAGCAGGAGTCACACTGGTGTCACTAGTTCATAACATTCTGAAATCTTTCAGGGAAGATATTGCCAGTTCTGCCTGCCCTGGAGGGGGGGAGAGTTTTATGAATAAGTACTATTCCCCGAGAGCTGCTCTCTAGTCTACTGTACTCTGCTAGAGCAGATGGGGAAAGAAATAGAAACAAACTCTCCTACAATAAAAATCTAGTTATGTATTATGCTTATTGAATGCTTGTAATTGCTAATTAGTATTTTAAACAAATTATCTCCCTGAGTTCTTGCAACACCATGAGGCATGCACTTTTATAGGTCTATGTTGCAGACGAGGTTCAGAGGGTTTAAGTAATTTATTCAAAGTTTCAGTTAGTAAGTGGCAAAACCAGGTAGCCACAGCTAGTGAATGAGTCGCTTGTTGTTAACTGGTAGGCTATAGGACACATGGCAATATTGCTAGGTTGATTGCTGGGGCCTTAAAACATGGGAAATTAAGGGGAAATAAGCTCAGACATCCTTTGCTTCTGTGAAGAGCTTAGGGAATTCTGGGGGGTAAGAAGCATCTGGAAAGAGCTGCAGAGCTTGGCCCTTATCCCGTGCTCCTGGCCAGGTCTCATGAAGAGGAAAAGCCAAGCAGAGAAGTAGCCAAATACAACGTGTGCCAGGGGAATACTTGAGAAAAATGAAGGACTTTGCAGAAATGAATTCAGCTAATGTTTCTTTCTCACCTGGCATCAGGAGAGGGGAGCACATGGTGTCTGAACTCATGAGACCAGGAATCAGAGAAACTATGTTGGAACCCTGCTTTTACCTCTTGGCTTGACTTGAGATCTCAAAAAAATTATTTACCATTTCTGAATCTGCTTTTCCAGTGAAGAATGACAATCGTATTTACCTCATATGGTTGTTATATGTGATTATTAAAGCATTTGGGGAAACACTCCTTCTGTCTGTGGGAGCCTGAACCCTCTATTATTTTCTATTCTCCTTGTTTAGACTACAGAAAATTTAAAAATTATCATCTCTCTTAAGCAAGGAAGAGTCACTACTTCTTCAATATAAAGAACCTTTGTGTTGACCAGAGTACAAACATTTTATGTCTTTTTCAATGTCTTTCTTTCTATCTCTGTTTAGTCTTTTTGGGAGGGGTTGTCCCTTCCTTTAGCAGCAGTTCTCAACCTTTGGGTTGCAACTCCTTTGGGGGTCAAATGACCCTTTCACATGGATCGCCTAAGAGATAACAGTAGCAAAATACAGTTATACAGTAGCAACGAAAGTAATATTATGGTTGGGGGTCACCACAACATGAGGAACTGTATTAAAGGGTCATGGCACTAGGAAGGTTGAGACTACTGCTTTCGAGTCTATTAAGATGCCAAGACATGGACTTCTGCTCAGCAAGGACCTGTGGGTCTGAACTCCAAGAATGCTTTGAGTAAATGTAATCATTAAAACTATTTCTGTTCTCCCAGCCCCAAAGATTGAAAAAAAGACCAGAACTTCTCCATCAGTTACTGAGTAAAGGCTTAAAATCTGCATCAGCTTGCTGGCTCAAATTTGCTAAAATCTTTTAATTTCAGATAGAGAAGTGAAGAGAAACTCAGATCTACCACTTCTATGAACTATAAACACACACACACACACACACGCACACACACACACACACATACAAATTGCTGACATTGATTAATCAGCACTATCTTCCAGTACTATTTGAAACCTTAAAAGTCACATATAGTGTTGAATAGATATTCTTGGTGTCCTAAAATTTCTGAAATTAAAATCATTGAAGACTTGTGTGGTCTAACCTACAAAGGGGATGAACTTCTAATTTCGTACAGAAACCAAGACAGGATTGAATGAAATAAAGTATAAAGAATCACTACCCATGATGGCTAACACATGAAAATCAATTTCTAAATGTTATTTATCATTGTTGTTTATAATATGCTCTAATTAGTACTTTAAGATCTAGTTACATATATTGCTGTAGAGCTATGCTTTTCTGTGTGTTTGTGCTTATTCACTTTTTTTTTTTTCATTCACTCAATAAATATTGAGCACCTGCAGTACCAGCTGTCCACCTGCTATGTAAAGTGTTGAGAATGTGTGAGAATAATGTAACCCCTGCCATGGGGCTTACAGAAAAACAGTGTGCCTGTATGTATGTATGTATGTATGTATGTATGTATGTGGTTGGCATTTATACTATTGAGAATTTGCTTAAAATAAAGCATTTATATTTGATCCTTCAGAGTATAGTCACAAACTATTTTAGCTTATTTTACATCTGGCAAAAAAGGGAAAATGATCTCTATATAAGTTTCTTCTCTAACGTCCTTTGATTTTCATAATTTTGCATTGTGTCACAGTAATTTACCTTCTTCATGAGATAGCCAATGACTGGCGAGTGGTATGGAATGGAGGTCATTTTCGGTATTCAAAATAGTATGGTTCACAGAAGGACAGCTGAGATAAGGCAATCTGGAAAGCTGCCTTGATTTATAAATCACGATCCTTAACCAATTCACATCTCATTGAAATCTCTGACCTGCCAAAATTGGGTTAGTCTTTCTGCATGAATAATTTATATTTTCTGGAATAAAATTGGGGACTGCTTAGAAGGAAGGGTCAATAACCAATGATGTTATTTTAGGCAGATTATCCAGCCTTCTGGGTTGCATTTTCATTTCTCCAAAAAGAATAGACTGGATTCTACAATGTGTAAATAATTTCACATTTCTATGGCCTTATAATTCTAAGTTTTGTAGCCACACTGGAAACTAGTGAGCTAGCTCTGAAATTTATTGTCAGTAATTTGCACTGTGCTTGAACTAAAGGTAAAACTGAAGGCTTCATTTTCCTTCTTTATCAGTAGATTTGTGTTCCAAATGTCT